ACCTAGAAAGATATCCACAGAGATTATTAAGTGGGGAAAAAAGTCAGTTACAGAGTAAAATACTATATGATCAAACTTTAAATCACTAGGGCTTTCCCCAGAGAGTGTCATCATGATAATATCATCTCTAAGTTTAGGCAGCTCATTAGCATATCCATAATGCAAAAGGAAACTGGAATCACAAGTTGGGTTGGTTTCAGTGCAGCTCTTCTTAGACAGGCTGATAGACTTCATAATATGCACAAGTCCCACACAAGCTTATACTATCCTGGTAATCCTCATAAAGTAAATATACCTGTTAGTCTCCAGAGAAATCTCTTTAAGATAGGATTCTGGTTGGGTGTTAGGTTTAGGGGTAAGATGAAACAAAGCATTTCAGATTTGCCTTTTCTAAATATACATGCCCATCTCCCATCACAGACCTATAGTGTAGGTGTTTTTTTTCAAAGAGTTGGGATCTGATTCTGTTGCCCAGGCTGGAGTGCAGAGGCATGCTCATGGCTCACTGCAACCTTGAACTCCTGGGTTCAAGCAATCCTCTGCTTCTGCCTCCTGAATAGCTGGGACTGCAGGCATGCGTCACTACTCTTAGCTAAGTCAAAACAAAAGGTTTTTTTTAGAGATGGGTGTCTCTTTAGGTAGCCTAGCCTGGTCTCAAACTCTTGTCTTCAAGTGATCCTCTCAGAGCCTCAGCCTCTCAAGTCACTGGAACTATACATGTGAGCCACCAGGCCCAGTTCGCAGACCTAAACAGTCTTAATTTCCAGAAGGGTAGAAATGTAAGATCGAGGAGGAATGCCAGAATATATAAAAGCATCTCAGATAATCTGGTCAATCTTTCCCTCTTTTTAAAAATCCAGTTGAAAATAACTATCTTAAAAGTATATACTCTGCTTCAATTACCAAGAGGTAGCTATAATGAAGATAGTGACAATACCATTAACAAAGTTCTAGACACTGATCTAAGGGAATTAATATAAATGAATTCATTTAATTCTCACAACATCCACAAGGGAGGTGTTAATTATTATTATCCCCATTTTATGAGATGGGAATAGGCAGTTAGGGTTAAGAATCATTACATAGCTAGTTTGTGGTAGAGCCAGGGTTCAAGACCTGGGAAGTCTAGCTTCAGTCTGTAGGAACAGATGTGAATCGGAGCAAGCAAAGAAGGTGAGGTTTATGTGCTCACATCAACATCTTCCTGCCCAAGTTTCTCATTTATCTTGTCCCTTGGAAGAGACCTAAAGAGTTGTTCTATTTTTTAGAGCTCACTCACTGCTGCACTTCTAATCACTTAATTGCCCTTGCCCTTTGAATTATCAGTGTTTCTGGAGAAATAGTTCTAAGAAAATATGCTCTGTTATTTCTCTTTCTTTCCTCCTTGAGTTCCTCCCCTGCCATGGAAACAGACTCCTTTGACAGAGAACTGTGCTGAAGTCTTCCACTAGAAGAACGTGCAAAAATGGGCTGAAATTTCATGATGTCCAGTTCTTCTTGACTATGTTCCTAACAGGTGCCAATTTCCATTTAGATTTGTCTGTAAAATTAGCCTGTGAATACTGGCTGGCCTCTGCAATCACTTGCCTAGGGAAGGAGGTGGTGAAAGAGACAGGTGTATATACAGTCTTTTCTCTAAAGAAGGCTTGTTTTCAGTTGAAAATGTGGAAATTAAGACTTTCTTGCCTTCAAGAATTATGATGTTGTGGGAGGAAAAAAATCCTAAGGGTTAGGGGCCGGTTCTGCCACTTTGTTAAATGTCTTCAACTAAGTCGCTTAACTTTCTGAATCTCAGTCCCCTCATTTGTAAAATGGCACCATAAATTGTTGCCTTACTTATTTCACAAGGTTGTTGTGCTCATCCAAAAAAGAACTCAGATCTTCTGGTGCCCATGTTGTTCATTGATCCATCCATAATTTTTTCATTTCTTCATTCATTCATTCAAAATGTATTCTATCTCTCAAGGGTTAGCTAAGTGAAAAATATATGCATGTTGGGAGTTTGGGGGAAGAAAGGGAGAGAAGCACTCCAGGTTGGGAAAGGGCACTGAAGGCAGAGAAAATGAGGCAATTAAGAGGGTGGTATGAACAAGGACCTACAGCAGCCCATGACTCCACATTCTAATATTTTTCATGGTATTCCAATTCCTCTGTGACTATTAATTCTCAAAGTTTCAAGACAAAGCCATCTTTACCTCATCTAAGCTGGGTTCCTTAGCTGATATCTTCTACATCTTGTCTCCAGGCCCCCATGGCTCCCTCCATTAAGTACACAGGTGGTGAGTAGAATCGGTCAATGCTTGCAAGCCAGGCTGCTCCTCAAATGTAGCCATAAGAAAAGAAATCTGTGGGGTGTTTTAAATGAATGCCTGATATAAAGATAAACTTTGGGTATCATATATCAGGGGTTCCCCACCCCCAGGCCACCTATTGGTACCAGTCCATGGCCTATTAGTAACTGAGCCGCACAGCAGGGGTGAGAAGCAGGCAAGCAAGCGAAGCTTCATCTGTATTTACAGCTGCTCCCCATCACTTGCATTACTGCCTGAGCTCCGCCTCCCATCAGATCAGCAGTAGCGTTAGCTTCTCATAGGAGTGTGAACCCTATTGTGAACTGCACATGCCAGGGATCTAAGTTGGAAGTTCCTTAGGAGAATCTAATGCCTGATCATCTGTCATTGCTCCCATCACCCCCATCTGGGACTGTGTAGCTGCAGGGAAACAAGCTCAGGGCCCCCACTGATTCTACATTACCATGCGTTGTATATTTCACTATATATTACAATGTAATAATAATAGAAATAAAGTGCACAATAAATGTAATATGCTTGAATCATCCCAAAGCGTTCCCCCCACTCCCACCCTGGTCTGTGGAAAAGGTGTCTTCCACAAAACCAGTCCCTGGTGTCTATGTTTACCTCATAGGCATCAACATTTAAGAATGATGTGAAAAAGGTTGGGGACCACTATCTTATATGATATATAAAGTACAAGTTCTATGTGTCCCAGGAAAGGATATTAAAGGTAATTCATAGTATCATGGTGTGCGTCTTACTGTATGTTGCTAATACTTTGAATATATAAGGTGCTTCTCTCTGTTCTGTTGGATTTATCTTTGAAGTAGTTCATAAAGGTAAAGATATGAGTATAGAAAACATTCCTTCACTGGCCCTATTTTATAAATGAAAGAACAGAGACTGGAAGCAACCTGTGGCAGATTATGCAGAAAAATCTAGTAGCTGAGCAAACAAGACTTCAGGTTCCCTGGATTCCAGGACAAAGTTGACTTCCCCATCTGAGGGGCTTGATACCTGAGCACAATAGGTTTTCATCGTCACTCCGATTATAATGGTTTCTTTTACTCTGATAATACTGCTGATATTTCTAGAACTAGCTTGTTCATTCATTTATTAATATCATAAACCCCTGACTGGGGGAAAGGGAGTGGAAAGTGGTCAGAAATGGCGTTGGAACCGTAATCAGGAAGCCAGAACCTCCACTGCCTCTAGAGCTAAGTTCAGCGTCAGGCCTTTGTCTCGAGGGCAACGGGAAAACCCTGTAAGGAGGTTTAAGTTGGGGAATGTGGCGATCAGCAGCGTTTGCCAGCAGTCACCCTGGGCTGGAGTGGGCCTGCCAGGAATGGGCAAATCTTGGGACAGGAAATCCAGTCGGAAAATTATGACGATAAAGCAGGTTAGAGATGGTGGTGTCCCAAAAGCAAAGGGGATCCCATCAAGACGTGAGAAGCACCACGTCCTTCTTTCCCCAGATCCCACTGTTTCTAGATTTTTTCCTTCTAGGAGGCCTGCAAATGTCTGTTTCCGGGAGAAAAAGTCGTCCCTGCTATTTGTCCAGCCTTCCCTTGTTCCTGGTCCGGCCCTGCCCCCTTAACATTCAGGAATGAGAGTGGAAGCGGAAGGCCCAGGTCCCGGGGGTCCCAACGCCCAGAATCCACAGCCAGTGAGTGTTCCTTGGGGCGAGAGGGGGTCGAGGTCACTGGCACGGCACCGTGACATCACCAACAGCCTGCAGTTCTCGTTAAAGAGATTTCGCCAGGCCCTTGGACTAACGCCAGGATTCTCCTGCTCCCGCCGTCAGCGCTCTAGGATTAGATAAATCCCCACAGGCAAGGCTCTCTGACGACCCTCAGCAGCTATGAGAGGAACGCCGATTAGCCGGCGGCCTCTAGCTCTCCCACAAGGCCGAGCGCGGCCAAAGGGTAGCTCCGCCCCTGCCGTCTCCCGCAGCTATATTGGCTAATGTGCCTGCCACTCAGCCGCGCGCCCAACCCCGGCCACGGGCCTGGAGGCGGGATCCCAACTCTCCTCAGCTGGGCTCGCCTCGCCTTGCTACTCCTTGTTAGCTGTGTTTGGCATCGTAGTTCCTACGCCTGCCGCGGTTTCGCGACCCACGGCGGACCTGCATAAACATTTTCTAGTTGGAATCTCACTCTGCAAGGTGGCCAAGATAGTGATATTCCTGTTTAACGCCGACAGAAATAAGAGAGAGATTGAGTGACTCTCAGAACCATGTGGCCGGATTTTAAAGGGGTATCTTAACAGTGGCTCCAGACTCCAGATAGACCCGTGTTTTCTGCTCTTAGCATTAACTATGCCTTTAAACCCTTCTGAATTTATTTCGTCTGTGAACTGGGGACAACATAGCCTTCTTGCAGAACTGGTGAAAAATTTAAAAATTAACAGGAATCTAGTATGAGGACCGGCCCGTGGTCTGCTCTTAATGGTGTGTGTGGGACTATGAGCATTCCCAGGTCTTCTGACCTCTAGTCTGGGACTCTTTCGATAAACGAGGGATTCTCAGAGGTCCAGACACTTCGGGAGATCCAGGGGCATCTTCAAGGGGTTCCCTGAGTTTTAAACTGCAGAGAAACACTCTTAAGAGAGATGATAAATATTTCCACCACGCCTGTTACTGATCATGTTTTGTTTTTTGTTTTTTTGTCATCTATTTGCTAGATACTGTTCTAAGTGTTTTTATACATTAAGTCACTTAATCTTTACACTGAACACTAAGGTACATCCTGTTATAATTCCCATTTTACAGACAAGGAAACAGGCACAGAGATGTTAAATGCCTATCCAGATAAAAAGTGTGGGAGCTGTTTTACATTCATGCAATCTAGCTGATAAAGTCACACACATTAATATTTGTACCATATATTATTGTACAAGAGCTGTCTTTGATAATTATTCTTGTGTCACCATTTACAAGATGCCCCTGACTTTTATTAAACTCTCAAAGGGCAGGAGAAGAAAAAAAAAAACAGAAGAACCTAAACCCGAAATCATAGACTACATGCAGACATACAGATGGATGATTAAAAACCCAAGTTGTGCGTGCCATGTTTGGAATTCCATTTTAGCTGAGTGCTTCAGACTATCACATCTCTCAGTGGCTCCCTGGAGTTGCCCACTAAGGAAAAATGATTGAATGACAGGACTGGAATGGAATGTAGCCATCATCTTATCTGACCACACAAACACCTCCCAGGAGATGAATGCCTCACCTCCTCGTGATAATTTTGAAGACTTTCTGAGAAAGTGATAACACTAGCCCATTACCTCACAATCCCAAGGAACACTAAAGTGACTGCAAACCCTATGTGCCTCATTCAACAGGTGTCGCAGAATAAAGGAAAGAAAGATTGGGAGAGAGATGGGAGCTGGCAGATCAGAGGAGACCAAAGACTTAAACTGAAGACTAAACCATGGGAAATGGGAACAAGGACTTATTTGCTTAGAGGTGAAAAGGGTGAATTTACCTACAGGGGAAATCTGAAAGCAGCTCTCCCTGGGAGCCAGGTTAGAGTTCCTCCTAAGGTGTCCTTGGCCTCTGCAGCAGTGGTGGCCTTGAATTACATAGCACATTTGCACACTCAGCTTCTAAATGCCCATAGCAGTCCTGAGTCTTGCCTGAGAGAAATACTCAGGTTCTTGGGCTTCACCTCTCCCTTCTGCCTTCTCTTCCTCCACCTTTCCAGATCAGCCTGGGGAATATGAGGTGTGAGGAGGGAGGCGAGTGGAGGCTGAGTTTTCACCAAAGTTATATGACATTTGAACCAGACTGATGGCAGAAGGAAGATCCTTTGGGAGGCAGACCTATGTTCCGGTCCCTTTTCCTGCCCCTTTGGATTAGTTAGCTCTCAATTCTTATCGCTGGAGGTGGTAAAGAACAGAGAGGAGCAACAGACAACATCAGCCAAGTAAAAGTAGCGCTGAGGGTGGGTTCCCAAGTGATCTGTCAACATCCTGAAATGATATTTTAAGTGACCAGAGAAAATGCAGTCTCCATGAAGGAGGGAATCTAGGGTGGTTCCTGTAAAAAAATATTGGTTTTGACATTTAAGGGGTGAAAGTGACACAGACAAGAAATGAGGCAAGAGGCTGAGAGTCAATGGCACCATTTGCTTTGGAAATGGAGCAAAGTCTCTGGCAAAGGCTGTGAAGCTCACAAAAGCTTGGTCCTGGGGCAAGGTGGGAGGATTGGCCTCATAGGACAAGAGCATGGCTGCAGAGTTAAAGGCCCAAGGACAATCAATATGAATTGGGACTTCACCAAACTACCATCCCCCAAACCCCTCCATCCAGCCACTGAACAGTCTCTCTATGGCGTGAATAATAGCTATTGTGCCATTTGGTATGCAAAGACAATTATTGTACATCGGTTTTGTACTGGGCTTTTGCTAATTGGCTGTAAATGCTAACCTTTCTTAAGTGACTCTAAAAAGGATGATTTCTGCACAACACTAATCATTTGTGGACCTAGCCAGGAAGGCTGAAAGAAGCAGCAGGCTTAGCAGACTCTTCTGAATAGCTTTGGAGACATAAGCCAGGGAAACCCAGAATGAGGTAAGAAAACCACTCCTCTCATTTGTAACCTGGAACATTGAATATGGACACTTTGATGTTCACCTTGGCACCGTTAGTATTGAGCAGATTTGTTAAGTATTAGTTCGAACTGTATGATGTGCTGGTATTCAGCTGCTTTTGATGCACAAAACACAGCAATTTCCTATGGCTGAATCTAATACAATCCTTAGATAATAAGATTCTAAGAGATGTTAACTTAGTTGATTGAGGGAGAAAACTGAGGAATTTTGAGGGGCCTAGATCTGTAGGAGTGAGTGTTCCCAATTGTAAACAATTCATTAAAAAGAGGCATGCAGGATCTCTAGTTAAAAATTCTAGTTTCATTTATTTATTCATTCATTGTAACAATATTAAAGATCATTGAACATCTCCCATGCATCAGTCACTGTGCTAGAGAGACAATAAAATGATGGTCACTGCCCTGAAGAAACACACAGAATAGCAGGAAATGAGTGAGGATGGTACAATGGACAGGACTCTAGGGAGGGTCCTAGGAGAACAGGAGAGGAAAGCAGAGAAGGATTGTGGGGAAGGAAAGGAGGAAGACAAGGAGCGGTGTGGTCTTAGCCAAAGAAGGTTTTGATGTGGGAAAGACAAGTAATAATTAACCAAATAGGCAAGGCAGGAAGGAAAGTTCCAGACAAAACCAGGCAGAGATGACCATATGATTTAAAGAAACAAGCTATATTTAGAGTGAATATAGGTGTATTAAGTCTACAGAAAGGCATTTATCAAACGGCTTTAGGTGTCTCAAAGTCAGAAACTGTGTCATACTTATGTTCATATAGTCAGTGTTATGTCTAGGACCATACCTAGCACATGGTAGGTGCTTGGTAGATATTGAAATAAACTGGCCTGGGGGGGAAAAAAGCCTGAGATTGAAATATATCACAAATTTAAAAGAACCTTTTTCTTTCCTGCTCCCACTAGTCTGAATTGATGAGGTTTCAATATAGTATTTGAAATGTTATACATGAAAACATTCATTTGCAACCTATCTCTAGAAAGAGATGTGGTTATGTAACCTTTTAATCTGTGTGTCTAAGTAGATGTCAAAAGTATGTCTTGCCTTGAAGACTGTCCTAAGTCTGTTCAATGTTGCTATAATAGAATACCTGAGGCTAGGTAATTTAAAAAGAAAAGAGGTTTATTTAGCTCACAGCTCTGCAGTCTGGAAAGTATGAGAAGCACGGTATCAACGTCTGCTAAGCAACTGGTGAGAGCCACGTGCTGAGTCAAAAAACATGGCAGAGAAGGTCAAAGGGGAGGTGGACACTTGTGAAGAGAGGCAAAACCTAAGGGGCTCCTGGTTTTATGCCAACCCACTCTTGTGGAAACTAATCCATTCTCACAAGAGGTAGTCTATCTTTCCCAGAGCAAGAACTCAGTCATTTGGTGAGAACCACAACAAACCATTTATGAGGGATCTGCCCCCATGACCCAAATAACTCCCATTAGGCCCCACCTCCCAACACCACCACATTGGGGATCAAATTTCAACATGAGTTTGGTGGGAACAAATAAACCATACTTGGAAACAAACCATATTCCAAACCATAACAAAGCCTTTGGTTCCTTATTTTGAATAGTTGCTGTGTACTCTCCTTAGGCCAGGTGATATAACAGGCTTGTGACCACAGTGGTAAATAAGACAAATATAGACCCTGCCTTCAGGAGTTTAATATTTAGATAAAACAGTTATTATCTGTTAATTTGCCTAGATGAATCAGGGAAGGCTCTCAAATGAAGCAGCCTCTGGAAGACAAGGGCATTCCAGGGAGGAAGGGCAGCATATGCACCAGCGTGGAGGTGAGAGGAGACAGCATGATGTTCCTGGAGAAGAACAAATAATGAGTGCTACACAGGGCTATTGGAAACGAGAAGGAAATGTGGAAGAAGAAGTTACAAAGATGGGCAAGGGTTAGCTCTTGAAGTGTCTTGAAAAGGAGTTTGTATTTTATTTTGTAGTCAATGAAGAGCCATTGCAGAATTTTAAATAAGGAACCAAAAATAGAGTCTGAAAATAGAGGCGCAGAGACCAGTAAGTTGGTGGTTGCCAATCAGTAGTCCAAGGAAATGATAAATGAGCAGAGCCATGATCAGGACCAGAGAGGAGGCAACAGAAGAGAGATGCTCAGGATACAATTGATGGACTTCAAGAGTGTCTGGAGGTGGGGCACTGGAGAATAAGTGACATGAAGTGATCTAGATTGACTTCTGGGCCTACAATTCAGGAAAGTGGGTGGGAGGTGGCATTCAGAGAGACCAGGAGCACTCCTTAGCTTTCAGAGCCCAACACACAATCGCCAACAGCTGACTTATGACTAAGATCTTGGGGTTCTTGAATCACCAAAACACTGGTATTTTTAGAATTTTACATTCTTACAGCCCAAGAGAACCCCATGCAAAGAAAAAGAAAAAAAAACCTTAAAAGTAAAAGCATTTAAAAGGCTCCAACTTCTCCCAAACTCCTCCTCTTTTCTGACTCTCCCCAATTGTATAGTCAAAGCAATAATAGCAGCCACATATTAAGTCATTACCATCTATAGCCAAATAACTACAAAACCACAAGAGAGCAATGAAAATGGCCGTAAAGGCACAGAGTAGTAATTATTTTCCCATTAGCACCAGCTACACTAATATCAACATAGAACAATTAACATTCCTAACCTCATAATTAGGCCATAACCTCTGCATGTCTTGCCAGAGTAGACTGATGAATGGCAGAGGGGGAATAAGTAAAAATAAGGCAGCCGTGCAGTGAGACCACTGCATCCTGACATTGTCTGCGGGTGAGGCACAGTGCTGTTGTATAGAAAGGCAGTGGGAGAACCCAGTTGTGATTTCCACTGATCTAGCCAGTCCCCAACGAAAAACTATCTAATTCAGCAGCACTTTCTTTGAGTCCCAGGGAGTGAGTGTTTGAGTGGGAGAAAAGCTATAGCAGTAATAACACAGGAGGCAGAGTCCTTTGCATTTATATCTCTTTATTCAGTCCATCACTAGGCAACCATTCTTTGTGCTTAAAACTACACATCTTTGTACATGTGATACCTTATTCTTTGAAGTAATCATTTTGGTTTGCAGTGTGCTAGGGGATATCTATTCTATTTATTTCTGTTTAGGTCAACCGCAATGAAGAACAAGCCATTTTGATCTCCATCCTGGTTTATATCTTCTGTGTTCTCAAAGCATCATATTATAGAATGGCTCACAAATTCTTTTGCAATTGCCTATTTATTTGTCCATTTCTCCCTCCAGACTGTTAGTTCCCAGAAAGCATGTCTTATCTATGTTAGTGGCTACATCCCCAGTACCTGGCTATGTGGACAACGCTCCATAACTGTTGGAGGAATAAATGAATGAAGGAGTGAGTGAATGAGTGAATGTTTTCCCTGAAATTCAAGCCTTGGTGGTTGAACTTGTGATTATTTGGTTTACGGAAGAGGCTAGGCTGATTGAATGCACTTGGCCAGGCAGAATTTAGCAAAATGTAACACAAAGATGAGTACACCAGCCTCGCTGATGGGGAGGTTAGCTGTGGATGAGCCAAGTGCCAGCTGCCAGCTGCAGTTGCAAGACCATGTTCTTCTAGCTAGGAACATTCTGTGGCAGAGACTCACCCAGGGGTCTGAATATCAGAATCACAACCAGAAAATGGCTCATTATTGCACAGGCAAAGAATTGGGGGCTCTCTCCAAATAACAGTGTCTTAAAGTTAGGTTCCCTAGAAGCAGAGCCTAAGACAAAGATTCTTGTCCAAGTGATTTATTGAGCTCAGCTCTCAGGAGAAAGGAAGTGAGAGGACCATAATAGGCAGGGAGAAAAGAAAGAGGAGAGCTCAGCTGGAGACTGGCTGCAGCATGATCACCTGTGGATCAGCCACTGGCTGTGGGCTATCCCCCTGGGGGCAGGAACCATAACCTTCTAGTGAACGCAGCTCTTATTTCAGTAGAGAGCAATTCTCTGGAAAAATGGGTAGCTGTAAGCTGTTGACACTCAGCATCCAGAGCTGGAGGATGGGTGCATGGCTTGTAAAGGTTCTCGGGGCATGGCACCTCCAGCATCTGCTAGAGTTGGATAGTGTGAAATATTGTCATAGTGTTCACTACCGATTATTGAGCACCTACTATATGCCAAGTGCTGTGCTAAATATATGTATTTGCTCATATACTCCTTTGGATATACCTGTTAGAAAGGTAATATACTAGCATTTCCATCCGACAGATGAGGAAACTCAGATTCATGCTTGGAATGTTTTCTTTCTGTCTCTACATTCCCATGATGGAATCAGGATGTTGCACATCCAACTGGCCTGAATTCCTTGCATTCATGCTATTCATGAATCCCACCGATGCTTTTGAACACCTATTATGTACCAAGACTAGGCTAGACTCTAGGGATATATCAGTGAAATGATCGTCTTGGACCCTATCAGCAAAGGATAAGCCTTAGGCCTGGATCCAATGTGATCAAATTTTAAAATACTATTTGGACATCTGCTATGTACATTCTGATTCATCAGGCCTTGATCAAGAAAGAATCCAGACTACATGCCCCTTTAAAAATTCACTTGAATCCCTCACATAAAACATGCCACTAGATTGGGAAAACCTGTTTTTGATACTTCATACAAACCAAGCATGGCAGGCACCTTCCCTGTGCATGAAGGAGATTAAACTTGGTGATCTCTAAATTCCCTTCCAGGTATCACATCCTTACATTCCCACCTCTGACATTCACAGTGCTCATGGCTATACCTTTACTGGGCACTGTGATGGTCTGTTTATGTGTCAACTTGGCTAGGCAATAGCCAGTTAATCAAATACTCATCTAGGTATTGCTATGGCAATATTTTGTAGATGTGACTAACATTTACAATCACTTGACTTTAAGTAAAGGACATTATTGTCACTATTCTGGGTGGACCTCATTCAATCAGTGAAAAGCCTTAGCAGCAAAACTGAGGTTTCCTTGAGGAAGAAGAAATCCTGCCTCTGGAGTATACCTTGATCTCTGTCTGAGTTTCCAGCCTGCCAGCCTACACTACAAATTTTAGACTTTCAAGCCACTCCCACAATCACTTAAGTCAATTCCTTGAAATAAAACTCTCCCTCTTTCTACACACACCACACACACACACACACACACACACACACACACACACAGAGAGAGAGAGAGAGAGAGAGAGAGAGAGAGAGAGAGAGTGAGAGAGACACATACCCCTCTCCTGTTGGTTCTGTTTCTCTGGAGAACACTGAATGACACAGGGACCCACTATGTACTTTTCTTCTTGTAATATCATCTGATGTATACAGTTTTACAGCTTATGATATGCATAGTTATGGCCCATCTGGGTTACTAGTAGGCAGATTAATCCCATGTTTAGAGTTAACAAAACAAGAGTACCAGAACATGATAAAAATTCATCTTCAGTTAAATTAACCAGAATTTTCCAATAAGAACATGCAGAAATTTTGCTTACACATAAATTCTGTTTTGTTTTTTTTTTTAAATATCTATATATGGATAGGAAGGACTATAATCATTTCAGGTTGGAGCCCCTAAATGTATTGATCCAGCTCTGTACATCTCCAAATAGAATATAAGCTCCATGAGGTCAGAGGCCAACCTTTGGTTTCTTTATGAACCTATAGTACCCAGTATGATGTTTCACAGATAATCACATACATAGGAGGTGCTGAATCAACCTATTATTTTCCTTTTGTTTTATTTTCCAGAATATATTAACTTTGGGAAATGGGAAACAGGCTCAGAGAAATGCAGATTTGTTTGTTTTTAGGCAAATTGATTTACCATCTCCAAAGGAGAGGCTATTGGCTGTTTCCTCCATATAGCTAGAGATTTATTGTCTGAAAGCAGTCCAGAGACCAGCCCTTCTCTTGTTTCCATTGGCAGGTCCTGGGAGTCCAGCTGACTGACATGTGTCAGGCTTTGTGAGTGTTTTAAGAGAGATTCATTTTACAACAGCATATAGGGAGGCTGTCCCAAGCCAGCAGCAAGCATTGTTGGCAATGGAAAGGATTAAAAGGACTTTTGAGGAGACTCAGAGTCTAGACTTTTTCTTGAACACAACCTGGAATAGCAGTGTGATGTGTAAACAGCAGGTGTCCAATAAATTTGTGTTTATAGACCAGCTGAGCCTTGACCCCTGAATAATTAACACCCCTGATGGAGTACATAGAGGGGATCCAGATCCTTAAGCAAATAATTCCAGCTTCAGGTGAGAATCTATCAACTTGAAAAGAGTCATTTAGGCCATAAGAAGGGACTTCACATTGAGTCCAGCCTGTGGTGGGAAACTTCCACTAACCTGAGTGTGTACCCTGGTGTCTCTCAAACCCAACCAAAGACAAAACTAGTTGTGCAGCCTGACATTACAGAAATAGAGGATAGAACTCAGAGCCCAAGAGAAACATATGGAAAGGCTTCCTGAATAAGAAAATTAGGAGAATTGTAAGACAACTGTGTGTAGGGGTACCTAAAAGGCAATGAAGAGAGAAAAGCAACAGAAGAGCCAAATGAACTCCATCTCCTATGCATCTCTGAAAGGTTTTCCTGTAGCTCCAATAATGTTGCCCACTTCTTGGTGGGCCTTGCTGGCCCTGGCCTTCCCTCCTTCCATTCAGTCCCCTCCACACTGGCCAGAGTGAGGCTCTCTACCCGCTCTTTCTACCTAAAACCATTAATGAAAAGCCCACATCCTTCACAGGACACTCGGAAGCTTTCATAACTAGTCTCAGCTTCTCTCCAGCTGCATCCCATCACTACGCCTTCCCCCAGATGTTGTTTGGTTGCACAGAACTATTTCATGTTACTTTAAGTACTCCATGTCCTTCCAGCTTGCAGGCCAAAAATGCCCTTAGCCAACCTTACAGAAGCTCACCAACCCTTCAAGGCCCACTTCAAAGCTAGCTCCCAACTCCTCTGGCTGAATCCATCAGCCTGTCTTTGATGCTTTCCTTATACTCACTACTCTCTATGGATATTGTATTCCAACTGTTTATATAGTATATTAACACTTTAATTCTTATCGGCGTGTGAGCACCTCAAAATCTCTGGGCAATGGTTCATTATTTTTAAAAATTATTTGTGCCTTGTTCCATACTTGTCACTTAGTAGGTCCTCAATAAATAGAGTTTGGAATTAATCAACCAAGTGACCTATATTGCCAAGCCTGCCCTGTAGCTCACACTCAGGCATTTCTCTCAAGCTCTTCCTCCATTTGACCCCATCTGAAAATTGAAGCTCGTTAAGTGTGTCTGATACCACTGCCACAGATTTCCATATATGCCCCATGCCTTCCACACAGACTCTGTGCTCATGTTGGAGGAAATAAGCATCTCAGGCTGTACCACACCCAGCACCAAGCAATGTGAATATGGGGTGTCCAATAAACACTAATTATTTTAATGATTTGTGATTTTTTCTGCCATTCGGTTATGTGCTTTGAAAAAAAGAGATAATGGCACAGAGTCAAAGGCCCATCGAATTGCAGGGAAATCCACTCGTTGGTGGGGGACGTTGGGTGCACTCTCTGCCTTCCTGCAGTCATTCTCTACCCACTGTGGTGGGGAGGGGGTAGCCCTCAGACACACAGGGATCTATCCTACTGCAGGGCCCTGTTTGCAGAGGGGCTGATAAGTGACCTCTCCCAAGTCAGGTGTAGCCTTTAAGCCAGGAGAGAAGCAAGAAACATGTTCTGGCACCCAGTTCCAGGCCTCCAAAGGCCTTGCCTCATTTGAGTGGGCGTTGCTCTTCAGGTCGAACTGAGTTGTAGTTCAGCTTAAATCAACATTCAGAAGGAGCCATAACAAACGACAGCTTTTCATTGCTGCTGTAACTCCATAAGCAAGATTATCTAAGCAATTAGAGGGTAATTATTGTCTACAATCAGAAGGGGAGAAGTGTCAGAATGAGGCAAGCAGAAGCAGTGACATGATAGATAATTTATTAGATGGTGAGGCCTTTGTGAGAAAAACACCCAAATGCCACAAGTGCATCCCCATGGAGCTTCAGGGCGGCAGGAGCCAAGGATGCAGAAGTATAATTGCTTTGTATCTACTCCGATTTGAGCTTCATCAAATCCTTTGGCTCCCAAGGCATTCTGCAGCAGATGTGTGCACAATATTCCAGCATTGGGACTTGTTTCTGCCCATACTGCTAGGGGGCCTGAGAGTCTGAGGGTCTGCAAAGCCTCCAAACCCTTTCCTTCCTTCCAGGCCTCAGGGTCTGTGCTGGCCACCCTCCTATACAGCCTTTACCTGGCATTCTTGCTAAGTTATTTGGGGGCTCCAACCTTGACTCTTTTTATTCCATGCTGATTTCTTCTGGGCTCTGAACCTTGCGTGGAAACATGCACTGCTAGTAATAAACAAAGAGTAATCATGTTAAAAAAAAATGAATTTGCTGACCTAGGAGAGAACAGCAGAGCTTAAGGGCTTTTGTAGGATTCTGAACAGCCACCTGTCTGTCCAGCCATCATCCATCCATGCATTCATCCATTCAATAAAACCCTTTTGTGCTCACTGTGCTCAAAGAAACAGGAAAGTTTTGCCCTAAGTTAGTTCACAGCAGAGTGAAATACAGACTAGAAACCAAATAAGCACAATGAGGTAATTGGAAGATAAAAAATCATTCTCTTCTACCATAAACCATAAGGCCTTAGAAATAGGTATACTCACACACTCCCTCATGACAAGGCAATAGCTTATACATGAGATTTCAGCTTCCCCAGAGGAGCTAAATAAGTGAAACCCACTGCTGCCAGTGTTTGGTCATATAGAAGGCACTAAAAAACCTATGGTAAACAAAAAAGCCAGTGATTGCCCCACCCTCCAACACACACACACACACACACACACACACGTCTGATGTGACCTAGCCATACTATTGTACCTCTCTGACACAATAAGCTGTTTCATACCTTTGCTGTCTTCATGTTTGTTTTCTAGGGCTTGATCTGCTTGGTGAGACCTCAGCAGCTTTGGAACCTGTTTTTCTTGAGACCTCTCCAGAATCTCCTGGCCAGATTCAACCTCTGCCATTACTGTGCCTTGTCCAGATCTTCCTTGCACTTAGCACCCTGGTGCATGTGTATGTGATCACAGGCCAGCCCATGAGTGTGCACTTGGAAAGCTCACTCATCCTTAAATCCATGAGGCCCAGAACAAAAACAATCAGATGTTCTGAAAAGTATCTGTGTTGAATACTCAAGTATCTTCCTGTTAAATTACTCTTCTTGATCTGTCTCTCATTTTCAATTATTCATTAACTCAGTTTCAGACATTTATTGAGCACCTGCTATATGACAGACATTATGCTCAGCCTACCTGTCATAGTCTCTTTCAATAAGAATCTTCTAAACCTGCATCTTAAAATTAACTTTGGGGGTTGTGCTGATAGTGTGTATTCAAGTCTTGTGATGAACAAGAGGAAAGATATATCATTTTACATTTGCACACGTGATATAGTTTTTATAAAGCATCTTCAAACCCTTTGGTTAAGACCTCTCACAGTTGAGCATGTAGAGTTGTGCTGAATTCTAATCTAGTGAACCATGGGAGGCAACATGGTTTGAAAATCTGAGCTATGTGTCTTTTCTGGAGTGAGCACATGCATCCCCTAGCTCCTGACCCCACTTTGAAACAGAGATGGATGACAAATGGTATCAGTGTCACTCAAAGAGTTGTAAGTGGCAGCCAGCTACTCCTCTGCATAATGATCACTTCGTGTATTCATTTTCCTCTTTTCTCATTTTGCTGTCTCCCATTTCCGATCTTCCCTTGCTTTCTGCTTTCTCTATTTCTGATGACTTTATCTTCCCATACGTTCATGCCCTTGAAGGATATTGCTTGGCACCCACCACCCGGCATTTGAGAGCTTTGCTTCCCCTTTGCTTCTAGGCTGGATTAAACCCACATTCCAGCATGTAGTATTGGTGTTGTAAGGAGCATCAGAACTGGCACAGCCTCTGTGTCCTCAGGCTGCTGATCATTCCATTCCACATCAGACCTTCTGAGGTGAACGAGCTAAACCAGCAGTACAGGTCTGGGCCATAAACAAGGCAGAACCCAGGAATGAGCCATTGTTGCTTTGTCTGGTTTCAGCACTCAGCTTTGTACAAGTCAGACAAGACGCCTGGACAAGGAGCCTGGGCTTCTGCCCAGAGTTTCATTTTTCACTGTCACAAAGCCACAGAATGGAAGCAGAAAGGCAACTCTTGCCTTTCACCTCCTTGCACACAGAAAAGCCTCCTCAGCCTAGCATCAGCTTCCCCAAACACCGCCCAGGGGGGCAGTGAATGTTAACTGGTCCTGATTTATTGGAGCAGAAGAGGAAAAGAAATGGCAGGCCCTAAATGTCAAAGCAAGAAGTGTGGCCTGGCTGTAAAGAGAGCTGAGAGTGTGCGCTGGGATGGGTCACGTGACTAGGATTCTCAGGCCAGGAGAGACCAGGAGCTAATTCAAGTGGGAAGTGTCAGAAATGCAAAGTTGGCTGTAAAAATGTCAAGAGCAAGGCAGGGAATAAGGCAAGAGGAAGGGTGCCTTCTGTTTTGTGGGAGGCAGGTTTCAAAATGTTAGGAGTGCGCATTTGCTTTCATGTGTCTGCATGGTTACAAGTCAAATCTGCTGTCTGCTGGAACGCAGGAGAACTGATAGGAATGCAGCATCCAGGAACCTGATCCTACTCCAGGGAGTTCTGATGCTACCTTCCTATGCTGCAGAGAACTCTCTGCTGCAGTGCTAAGAGAAATTTAGACAGTAAGTCAATTCAGTCATGCCTGGTGAAAGTGAGCTCTTACAGGTGTGGCTTGCCTGGTGAAAGGTAATGAGGAGTAGCTGAGGCTGTACCTGCTCAGAAGCCCATGTGCTCAATAAGAAAACTCCAAGCTTGCTTCAATTTGGCATTATTTTTAATGAACATTCACTGTTTTAATTCCGTTCACTGTTTCTCATTTATTTGAGATGGGGTCTCTGTCATCCAAGCTGCAGTGCAGTCGTGTTATCTTAGCTCGCTGCAGCCTCAAACTCCTGGGCTCAAGTGATCCTCCCACCTCAGCCTCCCCAGTTGAGGCCACAGGTGTCCACCCATCTTCATTCTTTGTTTCTTATCCTTGCCACCCTACTGCAGGTGTCCTCCTGGAGAGTCTCATCTCATCCAGGAAGACACCTGCAGTAGGGTGGCAAGGATAAGAAACAAAGAGAGAGGCAGGTTAGCTGATAAAGGGAGTGTTCAGGAGCAGGATGCTACAGAGAGCACTTGGGTTGTACTTCCCCTGGAGTCCCTCTCAAAGGCTCAGTGGAAAACACCTTGATTTTCCTGTTGGCAGGGAAAAAGAAAAAAGCATAAACTGTTTTTTTTTTTTTAACAAGCTCCATCCTTCATTGGTTAAGGGTTGCTCCAGGCACCTTTAACTTTGATGCTCTTCTGGGCTGCCCCAAGCAAGGGCTTAGCAAATTTCTGTGGCCAGAAAAAGCCATCAGGCAGAGATGCAGAAGCTTTAAGTAAGAAGCCAGTGTGTCCATGAAGCTGCAGATGACCTGCAAGGGAATCTGCTCCATCCACCTGCAATAGCCATCATGACAGTAATGTCTTTTCACCTGTGTGCCCAGACATGTGCACATGTGCACACACATGTGCACGCAAGTGTATGCGCGCGCACACACACATGCACACAAATGCATATTGCTGTACCTTTTTCTCATTTGTACTCCCTTTACCGACCATGTAAAAATTGAGTTTCCAAATAGTCTCAGCCCTCCTGAGCCATGATAAGCAAGCAGAAGCAGTATCTGTAGCCCCCCAGGCCCCAGCCACTCCAATGGAAATCCATGCCAGTTTCCAACTTCTGCCCAGCTGGAAAGGCTAGGACTTGTGTTGGCTGTTTTGCTTAAGCCCTGCTGAAGGGCAACATGGGGTGATGGGAAAAACTGGAACAGATGTCAGGAATTTGAGGTTTCTTGTGTCCCATCCGCCAGTAATTTAGATAACTTCTTTAGTTGACCTCTAGAACTTAGTTTCTCCATTTGTAGAACTAGAGTAATAACACCTGCCCTATTTACCTCCAAGAGTCATAGGAAGACTCAAAAGCAGCCAATTCATATACCTGGGATAATCCTCACATGCCAGAGAAGTTCCTTGCAAAGCCTTATCCTGTTCAATCTTAGCCTAATTACATTGGTTTTAGGCTTGAAGCAGGGACCTTGTTGGCTGACCTCTCAAAGCCTCCCTTTACCTCGTTCCCATGTGTAGCATTCTGTTCTGAGAGCACAGAATGTCCTCTGGTCTAAAGGAAACTGGGTCATTGTTTGCAATCATTCCAAGCAGATCAAGTCAAGGATCAGGATATTTTGAAGGCACACAAGGAGTCCTTTCGGGAGACGGGCATGACGGGCTTGCTTGCAGCCTGAGTGGTGACCAGCCCCTTCCATCTCTTCATTTGCTCTGTATCAAATAGCAAATTCCAGAATCACTATACAGAGTGATGGATGGGGCAACAAAACTCACCCAAAATATTAATAGGCACCAATGAGGGCACCAGCTGTTGTGCTTACTGTGTGTCATTAAGGCCTGCGTGATGTCAACAGAGAAGCCATTGTTGGCTGGATCTGCCTCCTCCATCTCAACCAGGGAGTGCTTGTCAATCACTTAGGAAGAACTGCCCTAAAGGGTGAGTGTGGTTCCCAAAGGTTGGAAAAACTAACAATTCCGAAAGAGGACTCAAGGTTTATTAGACCATCAAATACTGGAGTTGATGCTGAAGTCTATATCAATGGTAACAATACCCAGTGTGTATTCACTGTGGGCCCAGCCAATATCTTAGGGAAGTAATAGTGGGGGGAGGGGTGTTGAGCCCTTCTATACAGGCTCAGAAAGAAAGGCTTTTATCATTTATTTAGAAACAATGGAAACAAAGTAACACTCTGGGACAGAAACTTTGTCAGTCTGGGAGAGGCTTGAAGGAGACTCTAAACTGTTCCCAGAGTGAATTCCCATGTAAACCTAAAGAATGCTGATGGAGAGAAGCCACTGCGCAATCTTTCTTTTAAGCCACATAATATCTTCCTGCCGGAACAGAGTTGTTCTTGGCACTTGGAAATAAATGTGTGGAGGGAATCAAAACACAATGCCTGAGAAAGAAATCCATAGGAAATCTGAAGGCAGGGACTTGGTGAGAAGTAATGAAGACGGATGGGTCGGTGGCAGGAACAAAGATTAACTGTACCAGAGGAGATGGTGCTTTGGCTCTGAAAATAGGGATGAGCAAAAGCCGGAAGTGCTGCAGAGACACACGTGTCCTTTGTTTCCACCCTGAAGGCTCAAATGAAGGCCGCTGCCCAGCACGGGGAGGCTGCAGGACAGGATTCTGGAAGCTGGGGCCTGGTGCCTGCTACCTCCTTGCCCTAATACTGGAAGGACATCTAAATCACTGAAGCTTCATCCTGTGATGCAGAAGCTGTCCTCTTGTGAACAACCATCATAGGAAGTAGCGAAACCTGGTAGAGAGAATATTCTCTTCCCTCCACCTTTAGTTATACCAGAACTGCCTCTAGGGACTTTGGCAGGTTTGACAAATGGCAGAAGAATTTAGAAGATTTTCTTTGCTGGCAAAGGGAAGCCAATGATTGGGCAGATATGTGCCACTGTGGTTGTTTGTACAATGAAATTCCAGATTGCAGGCAGAAATGTCAGGTTCCTTTCAACTCTCTTCAGAGCTAATCTAGTTCCCATGTGCAAACTCAATCTATAGCATTCGGATAAAGAATACTCAGTCCTCTGCCGTGACAAGAACAAATTCATCACCCACACCATACATTGCAGCTAAGGGCATCATTGTGCCCACATGAGTCACCAGGCAGAAACGGCTGCCAACTCTAAAATTCTTTACTCATAGAAGACTCATGTATACTAATGCCGACTATTAAGCAAGCACATTTCTCCAGGTGGCCTGGAGCAGTTTACAAGATGCTGGCTCGTTCCTCATCATGTCACTTGGAGGGAGAGCAAAAAGTGGGAAAGAGGAAGGGCCAACATCATCATCTGTATTTTATGTGGGGAAACTGAGGCTCACACAAGCCATAAATGTATAGACATTTATGAGTCAGGCAATGACCATGGAAGAGGCAAAATGAGCTCATCTGAATCATAAGTGGACTATTTCTTGCCCAACAATTTCATGCAGCTCTTCCAACCCAACTGTTTTGATACAGCTGCCTCAAAACAGGCAAGCCAAAATTCAGACTCACTGTATTTGGTTTATAACCAATTTCCTATCTTTCATTCCATCTCTGACTTCTGCCCCATTTCTGAATTTGGTTGACCATAGTTTTTTTGTTTTGTTTTGTTTTACTTTAAAAGTGCCTCAACTCTCCTGGGGTCTTGACATGCTATTTCTCTCATTTTGAACCTCTACCAATCCTTTCCCTGATCTGTTCTCAATCCATATACCCTTGATGCCTGGAGGTTAGACTGACAATGGGGTGAAGATCAAGGTTGAGGCAAAGCTCACAGATGGACTGCGAGATGCCTATTTTACTCATCATTTATTTTTTAAAAAACTGAACATTTATCAGCTGAATTTTCAAGCCATACCAAAATATCTTCATGTCAAAATAGCTGCACTAAAGTGGCTCTATTAAAATAGCTGCCTCCAAAGAACTGAAAGTGGAGATGTCACCTGCTTCTGGCACCTGACTTTGGTCCTCTTCTGCATGGCTTTGCCTTTTACTCTGCTGGATTCTGGCATGTGGCTCATCAGAGGAGGCACTAACACCAGGGCTGCCTTTTACTCTGCTGATCTAAGCGAGGACTATGTAGGTGTCACAGATGAAACTCATCCAGAAGCCGAATAGGATGCTAATGGCATGGCCACGTGTTTCCAGCACCCTGTGAGGCAGCTGGCTGGCATCAATCCTCTCCCCAGCCTCCATCCCACCCCCAACTACCCACAAGCTCTTGTTGGGTCAGAAATGCAATTCTTTGATGGTGCCAGACAACCAGATGATGCTGGAAAGAAGAAAGAAAAAGAAAAAGCAGGTTTCTAAATTAAGCACAAGGCTCGTTTATAAAAATAAATAGCCACAGCCTAGCAACGTGCTCACTCACAGCTCAGCTTTCCTCTGTAATAAAACCTCTGTGGCTGAAGCCTGGGATGGCACAGCGTTCAGAGGGCGCCACGCCCTGGCCCTCCTCATGCTGTGGCTCCTCCCACTCTCATCTGGAGAGTGCTGACAGTGATACTTTGAGGGCCCCACTCTTCATTCAAGGCCAACCAAAGGCCATGCTCCAAAAAGCAGAAGGAAGGCACAGCTTAATGAGGCCCATGAACAGTAACAGACTCTTGGCAGTAACTAACATACCTGTAGCAAAAGTGGTTGACATTCCTTGGGCTACTCTGTTGAAATAGGAACTCCTCCTTAAGACTATGCCTTCTTTGTTCACATTGAATGCCCAATACTCAGCTTAGCACAGGGCACATATTGAGCACTCAATCACTAAGTGAGGGAGGACCAGTTGGAGGCATAAATGAGTGAATGAATGCTGCCACCCCATTATTGATGCACCCCAAACTTTTCACTACAAATGGAGTCAGTTCCAGAATCCAAAGAGAGGGATTCTTCTTCTGATTATGACATGCATCAAAAAGGCATCCCCTGGGCTGGATGTTAAACCCAAGCCCACAGCTGAAGTGAGCATCAAGATGTACTGAGCAATGTGGGCTCTTACTGACCCAAGTGGTGAGGCTGTTACAATGGGCAAGGGCAGAGGGCATGGGATATGCAGGTAACTATTATTAGCATTCCTGAATCTTCTCCTATTCTTTAGGCAACAGCAGTTCCAAGGGTGAGTTGTCGCTAAGCAAACCAATGGCAGGGCAAAATAGCACATTAGCTTCTGTGTTAGTCTTGTTGGAACAGAAAAAGTGGAGTCCGCAATGCTGCTGGAGGCTCAACAGGTCAAACACATCAGTAATGGGCATGGTATGAAAGATTTAATCCTGCTGCAAACTCCCCCAAGTCATGGAATGGTTAAGTATGGCTGGAGTCATACGGAGACCGTCCTCAGAATACTGAAAAAGTGATCATCCTGAATCACATAAGGATCCTTGTGAGGGTAGAAGAGACAATGTGGCTCCACTTTGACCCCTGAGAGCAGTTGCTTCGGTGAATTTCTATGTATTCCCTAGTGATCAGAGAGTGGTACAGGACAGCATGTCAAAATTATAAATCATCATCTCAGAGCAGGGCCCCTTAGTTATAGCATTAAAAAGATCAGAGATACTGGCACACTGTATTATTTAGAAGTCTGTCTTCAGGCATGTTTTTCTGGCCTGGCTGGAAACAGTGAAACCATATTTATGTAAGTGAGAAAAAGGTTCTTAATTAAATTCAAATGTGTAAGAATATATCATAGGTTTATTTTTGGAACAATCATCTGTAGGGAAAAAAAAAATTCTAAACAGCAACAGAACTGGTACAATAGCATTTAGTTTCACATAGCAGCATACAACAGAGAAGCAAGAGTTCTTGTAGATTCTGGACTCAGATTTATTCAATCCCACAAGCCAGAGCACCAAAGTCATGGCACTGGAACATTTAGGAAGAGGAACTCTAGCAGTGACCTGATTAGGAGACAGCTCCAGCAGAGTCAGCACATGGACAAGCCAAGCTACCCCCAGATCTTCAGTGATATCTCTTTGGTGGGGATAAAGGAAGACCTCTCCAGAGCAGTCCAACTATGGCATCCACAACCACAGTCCCTGCTCCAGCCTAGTGAGGACACAGTGTGTTCTGTGAGTCCCTAATGATACATGCTCAGGGCTCCCACATCTGACATGGCTGCTCAAGGATAAGACCCCACTGACCCCATTCTCTGGGAAGGGTACAGAGATCCATAAGAACAGAGCCCAATACTCAGCTCTGTGACCTTAACTACTTGGAAACTCATTTTCCTTGTTCATAAAATGGAGAGAGTAGAAACAATGCGTTCTGACTCCCAAGAGTGTGTGAAGATCAAATGAAACACTATTATGTTCAAGTGCTTCCCAGTCTGCAAGCTATTGTTCCATGCAGCCATGTTTTATCAAATGTAAAGGCATACAGTGAAAAGTGTGCCTCTGATGTGAGGACTGAGACTTCCTTTATCACAAATGTTTGGGGTGCTGCCTGATTCCATCTTAGTCATAATCCTAATTTTTTTTTTTTTTTTCAAAACTCCCTGGTCAATTCCTTGGCTTCGAATACCAAAGATTCCTAGCATTTTAAAATTATGTTTCTGTAACTGCTTCTTTCCTCTTACAATCCCTCGAAAAGCACTACAATTCTAGAATGCATGAGGAACATTGGGGCTCACATAGTTTACCACTTCACTTTGCAGATGTACATACAGAGGCACCGAAAGGTTAAGCACTTGTCCAAGGTCACCTGTGGCGTTTCACTCACCCTAGCCTCAGCTTCTCTCACAGCCTGCCAGTGTCTGCCCTCCAGTGGGTCTTTGAGGGCCACAGTTCAGACTCCACTCTTCTGGAGCTGGGACTTCCCTCTTCTGCCCTTGGACATCAGAACTCCTGTCCTCAGGCCTTCAGACTCCAGGATTTTTACACCAGCAGCATTTCCCACCTGGTTCTGAGGCCTTTGGCCTTGGATTGAATTATACCACCAGCTTTCTTGGGTCTCCAGCTTGAAGGTGGCATATTGTGAGACTTCTCACCCTCCATAACTGCATGAGCCAATTTCTATAATAAATCTCTTCTTAAGTATCTAGATAGATAGATAGACACATACATACATACGTACATACATACATACATACATATCCTATTGGTTCTCTTTCTCTGGAGAACCTTGACTGATGCAGATTTTGGTGCTACCCTCCCTATATAATGACCACATTTTCCCACTTTTAAGTGAGTAATTGTTACTTAAGCTAGATGTGTTATTTAGGATTTGAGGGATGGGGAGCCAGAGGATGGTAGACAGTTGAAGGCAAGTGGATTAAAGAATGGCAGTTATAGGAACAGGCACCTCTAGTGGTCATGATGCTTCATTTTAATAGAGTATATTGGGGGCATGTGACCTCTGACACATCAGCTGGGGCAGCTAAAAGAGTGCTGGCATCATTCCTATGCTAACCTCAGGCTGCACAGATTATGGCTCCCAAAGAGACACCTTCCTTCTGCTTGAGTAGAGGATAGGGAAGTGTGGGGAGGACTTTGTCTTGCATCTTGGATCCCAGCTCAATTATAGCAAGATAGGGCACTTGTCAGAGTTGCCAGGCCTACTTTCCAGGCCCTAGTTCCCAGATGACATTTCTAGACATGCCCTGGTCCAGAAGGGAATTTGCTGTCTCGAAGGGAAGGACGCAGTCCTGACTGCATTCATCACCTGCTAACTGAAGAGCACTTAGGCTCTGAATAACCAGCAGTGATACCCAGGTACTATGTCAAGGGCCTTGGGTGAGACTCTGAGACTTGGTGAGTTCAGTTCAGGTTCAGCACATTCCCAGCTGTGGTGGCTATGGGGCAAGAATACTTCTGCTTGAGAAAAGCAAAGGGAAAAGTAAAGGAGACTTTGTCTTGTACCTTAGGTACTAGGTTGGCTACAGTGGGGTAGAGCACCATGTGGGCTCTTGGGATGCCTGATTCCAGGACTTGGTTCTTGGATGGCATTTCTGGACCTGACCTGGGCCACAGTGGAGCCCACAGCCTTGAAGGGTGAGTCCCAGGCCAGACAGGATTCGCCACAAGCAGACTGAAGAGCCTTGAGCCTTAAGGAAACAATAGCCATAATCTGGCAGTACTTCCCATGGGCTTGTGGTGGCACTGGCCATGAGTGAGGCTCCTCTGCTTTTGGAAGAGAGGGAAGGACTATGTCTTGTGGTTTGAGTGCCAGCTCAGTCACAGTATAATAGAACACTATCTAGACATCTAAGGCTTTTGATTCTAGTCCCTGGCTGCTGGACAGCACTTCTGGACCTGCCTGGAACATGGGTAATCTCGCTACCCTGAAGGGAAGGACACAGGCTTGGCTAGATTTTCCACCTGCTGATTGTAAAGCCCTAGGGTGTTGAGTGAACATAGACAGTAGCCAGGGAGTGGCTGTAGCAGGCCTTGGGCAAGATCCAGTGCTGTGCTGTCTTAAGGTCTGGCTCAGTGCAGTCATTGCCCTGATGGCCACAGAGATGTGTGTGTCACAGTACCCCCAGCTTCAGGTATCTCAGAACAGAGTGAGACTCCATTTTGGGGGGAGCAAGTAAGAGAAAAGAACAAGAGTCTCTGCCTGGTAATCCAGAGAATTCTCTTGGATCTTGTTCAAGATAATCAAAGTGGTACCTCTCCAAGTCTGCAAGAACCACAGTGTTATTGGCCTTGGGGTGCCCCCTAAAGCAGATACAGTGTAGATCACAACACTGAAGTCCTTTTGAATATCTGGAAAACTTTGCCAAAAAAGGATAGGTACAAACAAGCCCAGACCATGAAGACTATAATTAATACTTAACTTCAGTGACCTGAAACAGATGAACTTCTCCAAGCATAAAGACAAACATGTTTTGGTGAGGAAAACATGACCTCACCAAATGAACTAAATAAAGCACTGGGGTTCAATCCTGAAGAAGCAGAAGTATGTGACCTCACAGACAGAGAATTCAAAATGGCTGTTTTGAGGAAACTTAAAGACATTCAAGATAACACAGAAAAGGAATTCAGAAATCTATCAGATACATTTAACAAACAGCTTGAAATAATTTAAAAGAATCAAGCAGAAATTCTGCAGCTGAAAAAATGAAATTTATACACAGAAGAATGTATCAGCCTTTTAATAGCAGATTTGATGAAGGAGAAGAAAGAATTGCAATAAGTAATCACCTGAAGGTACAAAACTCACTTGTAATAGTAAATACACAGGAAAACACAGAACATTATAACACTGTAACTGTGGTGTAAATTACTCTTATCCTAAGTAGAAAGACTAAAGGATGAACCAACCAAAAGGAGTAACCACAACAAC